AGGATTTCCCGACGGGCAGGCTATATCAACATTCGGAGAGTTCAATGTAAGGCATAATGCGAAAGCTGATATACGCCTATCTCTTTGATCACGTGGACGTGAAGCACAAAAACGGCCAACATGCCAGCAAAACGGTGCGGTATTTTGTGCGTCGGTTGATTGAAGTTGATGAATTAGTTCTTAGCGTCCGACTTCACGCCCTTTTTGAAAAATGACGAAGACCTGGTAACAAACGCTGGAGAATACATTAGTAAATCTGCTATAGATCTGACGAAGCTCTAAAGATCTGCCGTAGGGGACCATGTGGTGGTCTCCCCCACCCCAAAACACACGCACACAACGATGCTCTTACCTCGCGTAACGCTCTTGCGTAACCTTGCAACTCATTGCAGCCAGTAGCACAATCGGCAAGCTGTCCAGCTCGTCTTGCCATGTGTAAACGGAAGGTAACATACACCTGTCTAACGGGCAGAAAAGAGCCAGAAAGGACATTACCATCCCACAAAGCCTTGTGCTCGGCGACATTTTCCGCGAAACATCTGTGTCCCGGGAGGCAGGGATCATTTCAGCCAGGAACGAGGACCGGGGACGAGGCGTGTTTTCATGACAACGTCGCGACTCAATGGCAAGAATTCGCTGCACATGGTCTGACAATAAACCCGTGGTCTGGCGCTCTCTGTTTATCAACGTTACGTATAGACACTAACCCACGCAATTTTGTGATTGGACAAACCAAATATTACCGATTTCAGCGGGCTAGCGTGTAAATTGTTTCGACCGACAAAATCCGATGTCTTGGGTGGTTCAGCTCTTCCGCTACGCTCACGGGATCGGGATGGTGTCGGTAAGTACGTAATGGTCCCTATGCCTTCGAGTGAGGGGCTAAATTAAAAGATGACATGGGTGTATGTGTCGACGTGCAAGGCGTGTGAGGAGATAAATACCCATATCTATCCAAATGCACTTGGTCAACTAGCTCGGTAGAAATCGCGCTACGGGTAAGTATAGAAGTTCATGCTATGCGGGGTAAGTATAGAAGTTCGTACTTTACGGGTTAAGCGTATAAGCGCGAATGCCGAGTTAGGATAAGATCGCAACTTTTGCATGCAGTGCCACCTGCCGAATGACCGGGACAATTACAGTAACGGAGGGCGCCAGTGAGGAGCGCACGGCTGTGAGCTGGCGCGTCACTCATCGCGTGGGTCCCGCGGCGCGCGGGCGGCGCGGACGTGTTCTGTTCTGCCTCTGTTGGTCTGGTGGTCAGGTTAAGTCAAGGTAGTCACGACAGGACAGCGTAGCACCATAAGCATATCACCACAGTAAGGCACCAGAAGCTCGTCACCACAGTAAGGCACCAGAAGCTCGTCACCACAGTAAGGCACCAGAAGCTCGTCACCACAGTAAGGCACCAGAAGCTCGTCACCACAGTAAGGCACCAGAAGCTCGTCACCACAGTAAGGCACCGGAAGCTCGTCACCACAGTAAGGCACCAGAAGCTCGTCACCACAGTAAGGCACCAGAAGCTCGTCACCACAGTAAGGCACCAAAGCTCGTCACCACAGTAAGGCACCGAAGCTCGTCACCACAGTAAGGCACCAGAAGCTCGTCACCACAGTAAGGCACCGAAGCTCGTCACCACAGTAAGGCACCAGAAGCTCGTCACCACAGTAAGGCACCGAAGCTCGTCACCACAGTAAGGCACCAGAAGCTCGTCACCACAGTAAGGCACCAGAAGCTCGTCACCACAGTAAGGCACCAGAAGCTCGTCACCACAGTAAGGCACCAGAAGCTCGTCACCACAGTAAGGCACCAGAAGCTCGTCACCACAGTAAGGCACCAGAAGCTCGTCACCACAGTAAGGCACCAGAAGCTCGTCACCACAGTAAGACCAGAAGCTCGTCACCACAGTAAGGCACCAGAAGCTCGTCACCACAGTAAGGTACCAGAAGCTCGTCACCACAGTAAGGCACCAGAAGCTCGTCACCACAGTAAGGCACCAGAAGCTCGTCACCACAGTAAGGCACCAGAAGCTCGTCACCACAGTAAGGCACCAGAAGCTCGTCACCACAGTAAGGCACCAGAAGCTCGTCACCACAGTAAGGTACCAGAAGCTCGTCACCACAGTAAGGACCAGAAGCTCGTCACCACAGTAAGGCACCAGAAGCTCGTCACCACAGTAAGGCACCAGAAGCTCGTCACCACAGTAAGGCACCAGAAGCTCGTCACCACAGTAAGGCACCAGAAGCTCGTCACCACAGTAAGGCACCAGAACTCGTCACCACAGTAAGGACCAGAAGCTCGTCACCACAGTAAGGCACCAGAAGCTCGTCACCACAGTAAGGCACCAGAAGCTCGTCACCACAGTAAGGCACCAGAAGCTCGTCACCACAGTAAGGCACCAGAAGCTCGTCACCACAGTAAGGCCCAGAAGCTCGTCACCACAGTAAGGCACCAGAAGCTCGTCACCACAGTAAGGCACCAGAAGCTCGTCACCACAGTAAGGCACCAGAAGCTCGTCACCACAGTAAGGCACCAGAAGCTCGTCACCATAGTAAGGCCAGAAGCTCGTCACCACAGTAAGGCCCAGAAGCTCGTCACCACAGTAAGGCACCAGAAGCTCGTCACCACAGTAAGGACCAGAAGCTCGTACTCACCACAGTAAGGCCAGAAGCTCGTCACCACAGTAAGGTACCAGAAGCTCGTCACCACAGTAAGGTACCAGAGACCTGCGTCAGCGGCATCAGCGGCCTATGAAATGCAGGCCCGGCCGCTATTGGTGTAATTTCTTTGCTTTGCTTTTGCCGCTCAGCACACGTACCTGTGCTTTTGAGCGCAACCAGTAACAGGCCACCGGACCATCTCTTTAATGTATGTCATTCAGGAGGGAGCATTCAGTTATTAAGCCTTGACACCTGTGGTGTATGAGCAGGTCAATTGCACAATCTCTTATAAACCTCCACTCTTTATAAACTCACCTTGTCCAATTTGCTAACTCTGGTTTCTTTCTTGTGCCTTCACTTCGCAGTTGATGAACTCAACATAAACGATCTTCCGAGGGCATTGTACGAAGTTGCTACTACATAATTTAAAGTCGGGTCGGCTGAGGCGCGCGGTCAACCGGGAGTATTACAGGCGTGTGATACCTACGTGAGACACGAGAGAATGTTTTTTTTTGGGCACCAGTGGTGGTGGTGGGTGCGCTGCTTGACTGGGAAACAAGAGGGACGGGGGTTCGATTCCCGTGGTGCCCGCCCTTCCTGCCAAAGTAAGAGCCAGCCGGGCAGCATACAGCCTGAGTAACTGAGCGCGTCGTAAAGCTCCAATGGCACGCAATGTTTTCTTATTTCGCTAATGAACTGCGCTCTGGTTGCTGCTTATATGCACCTTTACGTCGTTCGTTTGTCGCATTTCAAGGAATCTGACTTCCATGCTCAACATGAAGCGAAGCCGAAATCCGTGGCGTTCGTTGGGGACGAGCAAACATCAGTTTGAAACTCCTCTCTCCACATATTCAGAGCGACCGCTTCCGAGTTTGGGTGAATAGCGCTGACTCGAAGTTGTCAGGGGGCATTTATTATTCAACTTCTTCGACTGTCAGCTTAATTATCTTCGGTTTCCAGCTTCCGCGGACTTTGTGGTAGAATAAAACAAGAACTTTGAGCAAGAAATCCGTTGCCTGGTACAAAAAACTGGGGCCATGATGAAAGAGAAGTGTTGAAAAATTCTTGCAGTTGCTTTTAGCTTCTTGCCGCCCTAAATTCTCCGGCTTCAC